GTGTCTGCACCCAGGCCCTTGGAAAGTCACTGCACCATGATGCACCCCTAGGGCATACTCCAAAATTGACCCACTCACCTTGGCCCAGGCCAGTTTCTCCTGAATGGCAGTATTGTTGGGTTCCACATGGCGTGCAAACTTCAGGTTGTTTATGGTATATTCATGGCCACAGTAGACTTTCTGAAGAAAGAGCCAACACATGGGCTTTGACTGATTAATCCACCCTTGGAAACCCTGAGGGTTCAGGGCCGCATTATGTCTCAGTCGGATGTAGCACCCCATTTAATGTGTGCAACTAGAGATACTATAGGGCCACACATAGGTTAAGTACAAATAAGAACTGTTTAGGTGACGGCTTTGCCCTCTTCTCTCCTCAGCTCAGAGGTGAGGCCAGCTGTGAAAGCAGGGACAGGTTCCTGGGCCTACAACAGATCTGCCTCCTGAGCATGTGGGGCCTTAGGGAAAAGAAGCACCACCTACCGTGTCTGGCGGGAGCCGGCCCAAGACCTCCAGCAGAGCCTTGTACATCTCGTCTGCAGTTCCTTCATAGAACTTCCCACAGCCAGCAACAAATAACGTGTCACCTAGAAAACACAGCGGCGCTCCTCAGGGCTAGCTCACACCTGGCTGCCTGCACCAAACTTACCAACAGGCACCAGGACATGACTCAAAGCCACCCGCAACCAATAGGCATCTTCACCCAACATGGTGCAAGGCCACCCACAGTTCTCCACTCTGCCAGCCTCCAGGTTCAACCGCAGCCAAAACTCACTGTTTGGGGCTTGAAACCCAAGGCACCCTGACCCACTCTCTGTGCCCCAGTCCCACCCTAGCTGAGATCATCACAAACCTAGTCCGCTTCACAGCTCTCAGCAGCCCTCCTGGGTCTCGTCCTCCAACACTGGATGTCCCCTTTCTCCTGCATCCATGTTTCTGACACCCTTTGCTGCTGGAATGCCTGAGGCGCCCCTTCCATGACCCCAGACTAGCACTGCTCTTGGCCTCACCCTGGCATGGACAGGACAACCTGGCTGCTTCTGTTCCCTACACACCCTAGACTTTCACTGTGGCCAGCCCACGTCAGTGGGTACTCATGGTGCCATTTATACCTGGACTGCCCCTTCTCAGGGAACCTGGCCTCCACACCTGAAGTCCTAACCCCATCCCTCCTCCACACTTTCTGCAGTCTGTCCTCACTTCTGCACTGTTGTCTCCCGGTGCCCAGCCTGCCTATCTCAGTTTAAACAGGCCTTATCCCACACTACAGCTGTACAGGACGCCTGACCCTCCTACCACGCCCTCCTCTCAGCTATGCCCGCCTCCCTCCCCTACGCCTGTCCCCTCAGGTCAGCTGGAGTGGCGCTGACTACTAAACAGTACACGTTCATCACTGGCCCTCACTGTGATGCCCCAGAGAACACCGTGCAGTTATAAAGTGACCTGAAGACACCTCGCCCCTCATGCCATGTGCTGCCCAGGACAGTCAGAGCAAGTGCAGGGCATTGTGGGGCCTCCATCCTGCTGCACCCTCCATGCTACACAGAACCTTCTACCTCTCAGGACAGAGTCCTCAGAGATCCAGCCTCAGGCTCAGCTGGGGCTCAGTGGTACAGCATCTGCCTAACACACACAAGGCCTTGGCTTCCGTCCACAGCACTGTAAAACAGACGGGGCTGAGGAGACTGGTTAGTTGGCAAGTGCTTGCCTTACGAGCATCAGAACCCGAGCCTGATGCCCAGAGCTTATGTGAAAATCCAGGCAGCCTACTTGGCAAAGCTCTAGACTGAGAAGACAGAAGTGTTGTCCTGACTGCTTTTCTGTTGCTGTAAAAACCAAGTTAGAGAGGAAAGCGCTTACTTCATCTTATAACATTTGTGGAGGGAAGTTGGGCAGGAAGCTGGAGGCTGGAACTGAGGCAGACATATGGAGGAGCTGTTCACTGGCTTACTCAGCATTTATCTGTCTGTCTGTCTGTCTGTCTGTCTATCTATCTATATATATATATATATATTTTTGAGACAGGGTTTCTCTGTGTAACAGCCCTGGCTGTACTGGAACTCACTTTGGAGACCAGGCTGTCTTCGAACTCACAGAGATCTGCCTACCCCTGCCTCCTGAGTGCTGGGATTAAAGGCGTCCACCACCACCACCCAACTTAGCTTGCTTTCTTAAAGCACCCAGGACACACCTGCCCAGGGGTAGCATTGCCCACAGTTCCCATAATTACTAATCAAGAAAATGTCCTATAGACTTGCCAATCAGATGACGGCATTTTTCTCAATTGAGGCTTTTTTCTTTTTTCTCTTCCCAGAAGACTGATTTGTGTCGAGTGGACAAAAAAATTAACCAGCACAGGTGTACCTCCTCTCTCACCCACACCCCCTCTTTCACCTCAAAGCTGGCATGTCCCGACGTGGCTTCCCCACTATGGGTCCACGATAACATGCCATCTGCTCTTGCAGACACCGACACAGACACAGACTTTTGCAGGGCACACAGCCATGCCAACGGGGGAGGGCCAGCTATGTCTACACCTCAGTTAACTTGGACGGTCATAAACTGCAGACCATATGGTTATCACCATCTCACCACAGCATACTGCAGTTCAGAAAAGCCTTACCAAACCACCAATCCCAGCAACAACACGGACACGGCAGAGCTGCCATGTTCCTTCCATGCCACAGCTCCGCTCTCAGCTCTGGAGTTCAGGGGGCAGAGGTGAGCCCCAACACAAAAGGCCCAAGGCCTGTGCATAGACCATGCAATGCCATGAGGAAGACAAGGAACTCAAATCAGGAGTGCAGGTTCACACTGTAACCACACACTCGGGAGGCTGAGGCAGGAGGACTGCCACAAGTTCCAGGCCAGCCTGGGCAACAGAGACCTCTCTGAAAACAAATCAAGATAAAACTCTGGCATTCTGTGACATGTTTTAAAAAGCCCAGGTTCCTGGGCAATTGCATATTTACAGAAGAGAGATCCAAGTCTCCAGCCAGTTCCCCTCAGGGTCTCTCCAGGGTTCCTCCCATCTGAATGTGCTGCTGTGAACTCATTACAACATGCTGGTGTGTCCCCCAGCCCAGGCTTGCACAGCCCCAGTGGTTGTCACAGGACAGCAGGGCATCATCACTCACATCACACCTCTGAGAGGCAGGAGCCAGGTCCCTGCCCCACCCTAGCCTGTGCCGTTTGAGCGCGTACGTCACAGGCTGCTCTGTTTCACAGGCTCCCAATTATCACCTGCACCATTTCAATTTTATTCATAAGGAGAAAATTCCTGATTTTTGAACAAACCTACTTGCACTGAGTGTGAACTGCACACATTGCCCTAGGGGCTGGCTCGGCCTCAGCATGTGAACCACCCACTTTCAAGTCAGGCTTCTGGCTCTGCAGGGTCACTAGGTGCATGTCACCCAGGTCAGACAGAGGTACTGCCTTGTGCTGGCCTAGCTCAGATAACAGGACTCTCTGCAAACCTGCAGGAAGGATACTGGGATCCCCTGGGTCCTTCCTCAGCCAGTCCCCCCCTCCATTTGTGGGCTACTAGAGGTAAGGGCTGAGGTTGCAGGATGGTGAACCTCAAACACCTGATGCTGCAGCCAGGCATGCAAAAGCAGCCAGGTATGCAGCAGCAGCCCAGCCTCAACTCAGAGCACCTCTGCACTCAGTAGTTTGAACAAATCCCAGGCTCCATCCTGGGCTGTGGCTTCCTTATATGAGATGTAGGGCTGGAAAAGGTGCAGGCCCTGCTAGAAGGTGCGGCCGGAAACACCTTGCTTCTCTCACAGGAGTTTTTCCTCACATAGCCAACATCAAAGAGAGTCTTTACATAGATGCCCCTACCCCTGATCTCCGGTCTCCCCAACTCACCTGTGAACACAGCAGAAGGCTCTGAGCTACCAGGCTTGCTCACAAAGTAACAGATGTGTCCCGAAGTATGGCAGGGTGTTGACAGACATTTGACACTGAGAGACCCCACCTGAAATAGAGGTGCTGGGGTGAGCTCTGACCACCAGCAGTCTTTTTGAAACGTCACAAGTGGCAGCACTATGACCCTCCTGTTCCTGACCACCTGAATATGCTTATTTCAGGGTCCACTGCATTCTAGACACCTGCAGAGCATCCCAGGGCTTGGACAGCCCACAGACAGGAGGGGCCGGAGGGGCTGAGGATCCCGGCTAAGGTGCGGCTCAGGTGCAGATGCTCCAGAAGTGTTTGTTCAAGGACAAAACCACTAGAGGCTTATTTTGTTTTTGTCTCCAGAACTGAGCCAAATTTAAACCAGGCATTTTCCCATTAAAGACACTTCTGTTCTGACCACCTCCCCAGCTCCTCAAGTGTTCAACCCTCAAGCCGACCCAGCTATGCAAACACCTCGCAGAGAGTCAGCAAGCATATCTGCACAGCCTTTCTGCTCAGGTTGTCACATTCTGACCCACTTTCCTGAGCAGTGCAGCTTCCCCAGGCACATTTTGCAGTTGATTTTCTCACTATGCTCTGGCTGTTCTGTATCTCACTTTGTAGACCAGGCTGGCCTTGAACTTAAGAGATCTGCCTGCCTCTGCCTCCTGAGTGCTGGGACTTAAGGTGTGCACCACCACAGCCCGACTTCACTATGCTCTTAAAGGGAGGACTGTTCAAGCAATGCTGAGACAGGTCTGGGGAGCCCCTTGCCTGATCAGCCCCCTTTCCAAACGATGCCTGCGCCCCAGCACCCTGGCAGGGCTTCCTGTGTACCTGCAGTGTGGTAAGGTGTGTGACTTTGTGCGTCAAGGCCCCAATGCGGTCGTCACCTCCGTAAACCTTCAGCCCAGGCTCCAGTTTCACCAGCTTCTCATTCCCACCAGCATGGTCCCTAGAAGTCAAACAGGAGGTCTGGGGTGACCTGACGAGATGGAGGGGCTGCTTGCTTGCCTTTAACCCCTGACCAAATGGAGTTTTCACTTTGCCTGTACATTTTTCAGTAGGAACAGGCAGCCTGAAACCACTTTTTATCTGCCATTTGGCAACACTGAAAACAAGTGTCTCGGGTGTCCAGCACACCCCTGAACAGAGAAAGCAGGTCACATAGACCTAGGGTCCCAGGCATGGCTCCCACACCTCGGGGCACAGGAAGTTACCTGGAGCGTTCCCACTAGCCAGAAGCCTCACTCTGACTGCACCTCCTGAGTTCAGGGATTGGGCACTAAGGTGGGAGTGTGGGTTGGAAAGTTCACCCAGGTAATCCTAATGCACTGACAAAGGCTATGCTGGGAACTCGAGAACCTAGATCCTGCCCACCTGCGGGAGGTCTGCACGCAGAGCACAGGACAGCCAGGGTGCTGGCACCTCCTAGGACCAGGGACTCCCACAGTTCCCCAGGGAGTCCTTTCACCTTTTAAAAACAAGAGCAGCAGAGGGCAAGGCCATGGTAAAGGCACAGGTAGGAGAATCCCCACACTGGGGTCACCTTTAGCTCCCAGATGGGGATGGGAAACACCTTCCCCTGTCAATCCCTTGGCGACTTCACTCCATAGTCAAACAATCCATGGAACAGCAGGGCTCTAAGAAAACAGGAATAAGTGACCCAGCTCTCTGCTCCATGGCCTCCAGACAAGGATCATACACAGGCCAGGTAGGCACCATCACCTCATCACCTACCTTTTAAAATGTCACTACCAATAAGCAATAACACAGCTTGATCTGCCTGTGAGCTACAGGCCAAACCCTCAGCTCAGCCTTAGGCTTGATGAAGGCATAAGTGTCAGCTGATGATAGAAAAAGCCAGACTCCTCCACAGTTTCAGGAAAAAGGCATCTCAAGTAGTAGCTACTAAGGCAGAAAAGAAAACACAAAGTGTGCACAGTGTTTGTGATGGCTGTGAGGCATATGCCATCAGATCCCCAAAGGTAGAAGTGTCCACAGCTGGAAGCCCAGGGAAGGAGCCTCACAAAGTAGGGCAGCCATAAGTGCAGCCCAGGCCAAGACCAAGGTTAAACTCCCTGTCCCAGGTGCTGAAGTCGCACTCAGGACGTCAGGGGCCACAAAGCAGCCACAAAGACAGAGCGACTGAGAAGCACAGCCCCAGGCTTCCTTCCATCGGCAGAGGCAGAGTCAGAGTCGTGGGCTCCCAGCTCTGACATACCCAGGGCGGGGTCAAAGACAGAGGCTCTGGCTCTCTTCACGGAGTCATTTAGGAAAGAAGATTAGGAGCCAACAAACATGTCTTCTACTTTTGAAGAGCCTTAAAAGATCCAAAAGCAAATTCTAGGCCAGCTAGAGACCCTGGCTCAAAAACAAAAAGCAAAAGAATAATAAAAGTCAGGAATGAGGCTTTGGGCAGCACGATCCCACAGCCCCAAGTTCAAGGCCAGCCTGGGCCACACAGAGTGGAATCCCATCTCAAAACACCAAAACCAACTATACAACAAAAGTCAATCAACACTTCTAGAAACATAAGACTTTTCCCCAAAAAAAAATCAGGGTCTCAGAGCCTGGCTGTCACTAGAGACCAGGGGAACTCTAAACTCAGAGCTCCACCCACTCCGCCTTCCATTTTGTTGGTTTTATTTGTTTAGGAAAAGGCTGATGTCTACCTACTCCTCTTTCTCTCTAACATGGGTGGATGCCAACAGCACGTTTTATAAACCTAAGATATGTGAAGGCAGCCACTGGGGGTCCTTCTGTGACCAGAGACGCCTAGCTTTAAAGGGACAGCAGTGGACACTTGTGCCTGAGAGTGCTGGCCCTATCCTGTTCCTCCACACGCCACAAATACCTCACCTGGGAATTACTGCATTAGTGGAACCCAGAGGTCAGTGGCCCTCGAGGAAGAAGGCAGAGCCTTGGTGTGTGATTAGACTCCTTCCCTGCTCAAGGGTCGTCCCTTCTATGGAGAGCAACTTCGCAGGTGAATAGTGGACCCCACCCCAGGACCGTCCACAGCCTAAGCACTTACCAGTGGTGATGGGTGGTGAGCACTGTGGTCAGCTTTACACGGTGCTTTTTCACGGTTTCTATAACCTACAGGCATGGGGAGGCAGAATCAAGGTTCAGTCACACATCCGGTCCTGGTTTACCTGCCTGCAGAGTGGGTGCCCAGCCCTCTTCCCTCCCACAACGACTGACCACACTCCAGACAACAGGTAGTAGCTTTTCTTTTTCCTTTCTCTTCACCAACTTAACACTCTGTCCCACCCATAACTCTGAGCCCTGGCAGCTCTGACTGCGGTCATCCACAGCACTGGAGCAGAGGCATGGAAGACGAGGAGGATCTCAGGGTTCACACGTGTCTAGGCGTGGAGGGTTAAAAGTATGTGTCAGGCTTGCCGCAGAGGCCTGTGGTCTCTCCTACCTGTCTCACCGCCCCACTTATCAGTGGATAGACATAACTGTTTTGAATGAACTGATTTCCACCTAGCTTCCACAAAACTGCAAAGACCCTGTGACTGTAACCCCCGTGGACAAAGGCAGGGTGCTGGGTGTATGGGACAGGGAGCTAAGAAGAGCCACACACACCTTACCTTCTGGGGTTGCACCGGGTCCACGATGGCAGCTTCCTTGGTGTCCTCATCAATGATCAGGTACATGTAGTTATCAGTCAGGGCGGGCAGTAGCTCAACCTTCATCATGTTTTGCTCCACAGTCAGACTCTTCCTGAAATCTGTGTGATACAGAAGGACTCCCGGCAGGACCTGACCTGAAGAAACACAGCAGAGGAACCTCAGTGTTCCGCAAGGAACCTTACCCAGACTTCAGAGCAGCCATACCCTTGCACTCAGTGCTCTGATAGTTGACTTTCCCAAGCTCCTCTGAGGAAATGTCCTATTCATTACATCCTTCAGGAAAGTGGAGGCTAAGTAAGCCAGCCCATCTCAGGCACAGAATTATTGTTTTGGTTTGGGGGGGGCGGGGGCCGGGGGAAGAGGTGCTTTTTAGGTTTTGGGGGTTTTGTTTGGTTGTTTGCTTTTTTTTTTTTTTAAATAGATCTCCCTCTCTATCCCTGTCTAGCCCAAAACTCACTAAGTAGTCCAGGCTGGCCTTAAATTCAGCAATCCTTCTGTCTCAGCCTCTTTCAGTTTCATTTATCTTTTGCAGTGGAAGAGACAGAACCCTGGGCTCACATGCAAGGCAAGTTAGCTACACCTTGTGCTAGGCTTGGAATCTTGACATTTCTTTTCAAGAGTTCTTACAGGCCTTCCCAGCTGCCTGTGGTGTGACTCAAAGCTGAGGCAGACAGAACAAGGCACCACAGCATGGCTGCTTGCCCTTCAGTCATGGCCTCTGCACTAACAAGAGCTCAGTCCTCTGAACCGACAACCCTTCTCAGGCCTCTACCCAGATGAGAAAACAGCACTTTATACTAAATGGCCAGCACAATGAAAAATACACACTGAAAATAAGGCGCTGGCTGTCTGAGACTCAGGCATGAACGACACAGAACAATTATTCAAGCAAGGACTGGCCTGGGTGCACCAAGGAGGTAGCGAGGGACTGGGGGACAAAGGTATACGCTGCTCCACCCATACAGATGCCAAAACAGTTTTCAGCAGAAAAACTCGCATTCAACCTGAAAACATGGGGCCTCCAAAAAGGTTTTCTGTCTTGGCTTTAAAGACAAGAAAGCCACACAAGGTGGTAGAGACAGTGGTATCCTGACTCTCAGGAATCCAGAAAACAACAGCTTTGACCCTGTGATAGCTAGTACTATCAACTAATAACCATGGTGCCTCAGGGCCCCAAGACTACTACTGTACTAGGGAAGTGCTCTCCCACTGCGTTAAGCCCCAGATCCCCATTTCTCCTTTTTGGCACAACAATTGGGCATGTTCAGCAAAATAAATATTTCTGTAGTATCAGGTTTCTGTAATATTTGAACTCCCTAAGCCCTGGCAGTGCCCAAGCCCATGGAGGGCAGAAGGGTGAAGAGAGGTGAATACGAGACCCGTTCATGTATTTCCTGGCAGAACACTGCCATGGCTAAATAACATATTATTACTAGTGTTCAACCCACTCTAGGTCTCAAAAGTTAAGTAACCTAGAGAAGACATGATAACTCCTAAAGAAGGGATTCAACCAACTGAGGGCACCTCCAGGACCCTCTTTCCCAACTACACCTAGCTTGACACTGCCCAGAAGATGCTTCCAGCTCTCTAGCTTGCAACTAGAGACATTTTGCTTGAGTTGGGACCTGCAGCCTGTGTTCAAGACCAAATCCACAGACACGTTTTATTTTGCTCATAACATTGTTTAAAAACTGAAGACTTCGAGAGAGTTCCATCTTCTCATCCGGCGGGACTTCTAGGGCACCAAATGCTGAGCTGCGGATCCCATAAGCGGCGCTGACCAGCAGTAACTGCCCTCGCCTAGCTCTTCAGCAGCGACACTAAGGGCTATTCCTTAGTGAATTCCTGGAGAGACCTGTACTTCTGGGGTTCTCAACGAGAGGGCTTCTTACTTAGTAAAGATGGACCACGCACTTTCAATCACAATTGCTTCCAAGTTCTCAGCGAGCTGAACTGAGGCCGACCAGCTCCGGAGCGCTGGCAACCCACTGTTGTCACACCAGTTGGACACCAGTAGGAAGAGCAGATGGCTTAGAAACCGAGGTTGCGACCCCGGCACTGGAGTACGACTCCGGCCGGGTGGGAGCAGGTGCCCGCCCTCTGTCCCCGGCCACGGACTCTGCCAGCGCCGCTGGTCTAAGCTGAAGACGCCCGGCCCCGCTTCTCGCCCGTCCGGCAGCGCACAGCACCTGCGCCCGGAGGCAGCGAGGGCTCGCCCAACCGACGTCCGGCCTGCCGGCACCGCGCCGCGTCAGCGCCCAGACACACTTACCCAGACCGCGGCGCGCGCAGGCGGCTCCCAGCACTGACAAGCTCCGGAGGCACCGCGGCCCGCGACCCAGCACCATGACCCACGGGGTGCACAGCCGGGTCGCGGAGCCGCAACACCAACGTCGTGGGCATCAACACTAGCGTTGGCGACAGCAGCCAATCAGTGTCCTCCTCGCACTGCTCCCAACCAACCAGCTCCTGCTCTTTACCGAAACGCCACGCCCTCCACCCGACAGTGCCCGCCCATAGAGCGCACGGCCAACCAGTGTCTGTCTCGCGCCGCGGTGCCGCCCCCAGCCAATCAGCATCTCCTGCCCAAAATGTTCCCTACCCTGCCCTGGGAGCCTTGGCTCGGAGACCTGGTCTGGACGTAGGTGGAGGCGGCGGAGGGAGGCTGACCGTACGCCTCCTCGTCTCTTCCGGGCCGCTGACCTTAGCGTCTAGCTGCTGCGCAAGGAAGGGCGGGCCGCTTCGGCCTGAACAGCATCCTAAGGCAGCTGTCGCCTCGAGGCCCCCGTAGTCCCGGGATCCAACGGTCACGTGACACAAGGTTTTACCATGGCTTCCTCCAAGCCTCTGTCTCGCTTCTGGGAATGGGGCAAGAATATCGTGTGCGTGGGGAGGAACTACGCAGACCACGTCAAGGAGATGCGCAGCGCGGTGCTAAGCGAGCCTGTGCTTTTCTTGAAGCCGTCCACCGCGTACGCTCCCGAGGGCTCACCGGTGTTAATGCCCGCCTACTGCCAGAACCTGCACCACGAGGTGGAGTTGGGAGTGCTCTTAGGCAGGCGTGCTCAAGCCGTCCCCGAGGCTGCCGCCATGGACTACGTGGCCGGCTACGCCCTGTGCCTGGACATGACTGCCAGAGATGTGCAGGAAGAGTGCAAGAAGAAGGGACTTCCCTGGACCCTGGCCAAGAGCTTCACGGCCTCCTGCCCTGTCAGCGCCTTCGTGCCCAAGGAGAAGGTCCCTGACCCTCATGCCCTAAGACTGTGGCTCAAGGTCAACGGTGAACTCAGGCAGGAGGGCAAAACATCGTCTATGATCTTTTCCATCCCCTACATCATTAGCTACGTTTCCAAGATAGTAACCTTGGAAGAAGGAGATCTTATATTGACCGGGACTCCAAAGGGGGTTGGGCCAGTTAAAGAAAATGATGAGATCGAGGCTGGAATAGATGGGGTGGTTAGTATGAAGTTCAAGGTGAAAAAGTCAGAATACTGAGTTGTTCTTAACGAGTGTCAAAGGAGAAAGGAGACATAAGCAAGTGAAGTAACTAAATGTCAATCTTAATGAAAATTTAAAATGAGTCCGTAAAAATAAGTAACGTGATTTTAAAAATTGGGGCAGAAAGAGAATAACCAAACTAAAGAATATTTAATGCTTCCCAAGAGGAGATGTGTTAAGACTTACGTAAATCGTCTATAATTCCATTAATGATGTTACCCTTTAGGAAAGCTGTTTATACACTCCAGTTGGTTCTTACTAGGGAAAGCTCTTCATCCCAAAATCAGATAAAAGTTTTGTTAAGCGAGCAATTGGTAAAGTTCTGCCTTGTTTACTTGGAATGTATATATTGGACTGTGACTTCTGAGTTTGGGAGGTAATTTTGAAATTGTTTTCCAAATAAACACGTTTCTTACGTGACCTGAAAGTGTACTTTCTTTCCCTGTGGGGGAGGGGTACTTCTTCCTCTGGGGCTTCAGACTTTGGTCTTGGGCTCCTGAGCACTGTGCTTTAACTTACTAACAAAGTGAACCAGTCCCTCCACATCAATAAAAGAGGCCCTAGGAAACCGACAGCCTGGAAATGCTGCATTTTCTCTTGCCTGCACCACTTCCTGATAGAAGATCCCTCAGGATGTACAGCACAGCTTTCAGGGCCCAGTGGAGGCTTCTGCTGTGCCGGTACAGAGTCTGCTGGCCCCTTTCAGTAATTTATCAATACTGCTAGGCATTATGCCAACTATAGTTCATTCCATGTTCCTGTGCGTTGTGTTCTTAACAAAGCTGTGAGGTTTGTTAGCCCTATCATCCTGATGACAATTTAGACCTAGAGGCTAGCAAATATGACAGGGCCAATTTGTAAGGAAATTGTCACAAACTCAAAGTCTGAAGTTTTAACCAAAGTATAGGTAGTGCCATATAAGTAAATATATAAGAAAATTTATACATATGGGTATTCTGTGAGCCCAAGGCTTAATTATGATTTATTATCAAGTCCCATAATGATATTGGTTTAATAAATATGACTTTTAAACAGAATCTTATTATAACAGGATGACCCTGAACTCATGATCCACCTGACCTAAGTTTTCCATTATTTTATCTTTTTTTAAAAAAAGATTTATTTATTTACTTATTATGTGTACAATATTCTCTCTGTGTGTGTATGCCTGCAGGCCAGAAGAAGGCACCAGACCTCATTACAGATGGTTGTGAGCCACCATGTGGTTGCTGGGAATTGAACTCAGGACCTTTGAAAGAACAGGCAATGCTCTTAATCACTGAGCCGTCTCTCCAGCCCCAACCATTATTTTATCTTTAGTAGTTTATTTAATTACTTAGCTGTCAATGTTTAATACAAATGAATTAGGAATTTTATTTTGTTTTAGTTTTGGTTTTTCGAGACAGGGTTTCTCTGTAGCTTTTGGAGCCTGTCCTGGAACTAGCTCTTGTAGACCAGGCTAGCCTCGAACTCACAAAGATCCGCCTGTCTCTGCCTCCTGAGTGCTGAGATTAAAGGCGTGCGCCACCACCGCCCAGCAAATTAGGAATTTTAGATAAGAAAAAGGAACAAAAGAAAAAAAAACCCTTAAGATTGCATCTACCCAGAGACTGCCAAAGTTAGACACTTAGTATAAATTCTTCCAAATCTAAATATGGATATTATTTTAAGTGGAATTTTTGGACAGGGTCTCATTATGTAGCTCAGGCTTGCCTATACCTCATGGGCCTCTTTCCCTAGTGGCCTGAGTGCTGCTGAAATAACAGGTATATGCCACTACCATGGTTTTCCAACATGGTTTTTATACTGGCTATTGTGATTTCCACACCAGTCAGCACCGTTCTGCAATTTGATTTTCATTGATTATGAAAGACTGTAGGTCAGTCAGTCCTCTGGTTTTAGACATTGGGGTGTGCTGGTGAAATCAGCACATTGATAATTCCTGATTCGTGTGGCTGGGTTCCCAAAGTCAATCAGTGAGCCCAAAGGGCATGCCGCCCATATTGAAGCTGTACTTTAATCTAGCTAACAAGTACAAGGTTCAACTGAGAAACATCTACTAAGTTGACAGAGCAATTAAGCAAGCTGAAGGTACAAGCTAGTGCCCAGAAAGTACAGTGCCCATGAGGCCAATGTCCACTAAGCAATGGAATGAGCTTTGTCACAAACATCTGACACCAGCATTACAGTTGTAGCACACAAAGTCCTTGGAAGTAAGAATCAAAAACTGAACCCAATTCCCACAATTCTGAGCTTCTAAAATCACAGTAAACGTCACACCCAGGAGATAAATACTCTTTCAACTTATTTTAAATAAATACAATCTATGAAAAAGTTGAAAGATTCATCCAATGAAGTCAAATTACCCTTCAGTAGATTTAACAACTGTAACTTTCAGATATGGAGAGATAGTTCAGAGGTTAAGAACTACTTAACAACTGTCTGTAACTCCAGTCCAAGAGAATCGATACCCTATGATCTCCGTGAGCACTGCATGCACATACAGGCAGCCCAAACACCCATACACATACAAATTTAAAACAACACAAAACATTGTTCACCAGACATGGTGCATACCTTTAATCACAGTACTGGGGAGACAGTGTGATCTACATAGTGTGTTTCAAGACAGCCAAGAATAGATAGACTGTCTCAAAATACAAAACAAAAAAAATTTGCTAATCACACATAAAATAATTTCATAATTCATTAGTCTATGCAGAATATGTCTTGACTTCTGTTACAGTGATTTTTTTTAATGTATTGGAGTACATGCCTTTAGTTCCAACATTAAAGAGGCAGAGGTAGGTGACTCTCTGGGAGTTCAAGGCCTGGACATTCCTATGTAGACCAGGCTGTCTCAAAAAACAATAAAAATTTAAGCTGGTTGGTGGTGGCGCGTGCTTTTAATCCCAGCACTCCAGAGGCAGAGACAGGTGGATCTCTGTGAGCTCGAGGCCAGCTTGGTCTACAGAGCTGATACCAGGACAGGCTCTAGAGTTACACAGAAAAACCCTGTTTCAAAAAACCAAAAATAAGTAGGTAAATAAATAAACAAATAAAAATTAAAAAATAAAATAAAAATCCACTGGTTATCTATAAAAAGTGAATATTAGGCCAGGCCCAGCTACTCATGAGTCTAAGACAGGAGGATAGCAAATTCAAGATCTGTCTGAGCTACAGAGTATACAGTTAGCCTGTGTAATTTAGTGAGGCTCAGTCTCAAATACAAAGAAGAAAAAGAGTAGAAAGTGGGGGAGAGGACTGCTGAGAATTTACTTAGTGATGAGATGCTTGCCTCATATTCATCCTTGATAGGGTTCAATCCTAGCATCATATTGACAGCACATGCCTAGCACTCAGGAGATGGAGGCAGGAGGATCAGGAGGAATTCAAGTATAGGAAGATAGGACCTACAAGACCAGAAGAGCCAACATGGAGTCTGCCTGAGGGCCTATCAACAGGCGCTGTCAGAGGTCCTGATTATGCACTGTCAACTGATGGGAACGCAGCCTGGGTGCTGGAAGAGGGCATATAAAGCTCTCACCATAGCTGAATAAAGGAGTCTGCTGTTTGTCTTTCACCTGACCTCCAGCACCTCTCACCCTCTCCCCTGAGGGAGCCATTAGGACCCAGCCACATTCAAGTTCTTCCTTCGCTACATATCAAATTCAAGGCCAGACTACATAGACCCTGTGTCACAAAAAAGAAGAGGGTGTATATATAAAATCAATGATAAAATACTTGCCTACAGCTAGCATGTGTGAAACTCTAGGTTCTGTCCCCAGTACTAGAGGGGAAAGTATTATCCATTCACTTGGACACCTTTTCAGGCTAGTGAACACTCATCTAATTGTTTTTAATTGGTATATCTTCTTAGATCATATATCCCAGAGGCAGATCGTAAGATGGGAATTGTTGTCCAGGTAACGTTTTGAAGGGGTGCTCTCAGGAAGATAAGTGAAGGAACAAGGAAATGCAAAGCAGGTGGAGAAGAGGGCAATGAAACTCAGTGGGCAGATGACTCCGGTTGGAGAGAGCAGTAAAGTACTCATGGTGCACTTTGCCTCCCTCAGAACCTCAGCAGGCATCACTGCTCCTCACAGAAGCTGGGAGATCTCTGAAAACTTGGAGTTAATGGGGTGAGGTGTGGGGCAACATTCTCCACAGGTTTAGTTTCTGATGTTTAAACAGACACAATAAGGCAAGATTTTCTTTCTTTCTTTCTTTCTTTCTTTCTTTCTTTCTTTCTTTCTTTCTTTCTTT